GTTGGCCGGGCACGCACTCGACGAACCCGTACACGTCTCGGCGACGTCGCATTTGCCGTCGGCGGCGCGGCACACAACGGTGGACGGACGGTACTTGTCGACGCAGTTGCCCTTGCCGTCGCAGACGTCCTGGTCGTCACACGCGCCACCGTTGCTCGTGCCCGTGCACTTGGTCGCCGCACCTGCAAATCCGTCGGCAGGGCATGCGCTCGACGTCCCCGTGCACTTTTCGCTCACGTCGCAGTCGCCCTTGGACGCGCGGCAGACCGTCGTCGATGGCAAATACACGTCGACGCAGTTGCCCTTGCCGTCGCAGACGTCCTGTCCGTCGCACGCGCCACCATTCGACGCTCCGCTGCACGACTTGTCCTTGGAGGCAAACTGGTCCACGGGACACGACCCCGACGTCCCCGAGCACGTCTCGGCCACGTCACAGGCACCCTTGGAGACGCGGCAGACGGTGGTCGACGGCAAGAACTTGTCAATGCAGCTGCCAAAACCATCGCAGTAGTCTTGGGCATCGCATGGACCACCGTTGCAGCTCCCCGAGCACGCCATCGTCGGAGGTGCGTAGCTGTCGATTGGACACGCGCCCGAGGACCCCGTGCACATCTCGGCGACATCGCACTGGCCACTGGAAGGCCGGCACACGCTCGTCGACGGCTTGAAAGCGCTGATGCATTCGGCCTTGTCGTTGCAATAATCGTTGGCGTCGTCGTCACAGGCGCCGCCGTTCGTGCAGCTCTGGCCCGGGCACTTGGCACCGGTGGGCTTTTGCGTGTACGCGCAGCGCCCGCGCGTGCACACGGGGGCGGCGTAGCACGTGATTTGCGGACAGTCGGTGTCGCACGAGCACGCCTTGGCAATGTCTTGGAGGAGCTCCATGTCGAACGAGGCTGCGACAGCGTTGGCAAGCGCGAGAATCCAAAGCAGCTTCATCGTCGCCAAGCAAGTTGGAGAATGCAGTTCGGTACCATGGACGTCGATGGCAGACCTTCGGATCGAACACCATCCCACGCACCTCAGAGGCAATGTTCCAAGACGGCTGTACCACCAGCGTCGAAAGGATCTCTTTTTCCACCAGCGTCGCCGTCGAAGATTTGCAAGTCGTTGTTCGTTTTGAACCTCTAAATCTCGGGCGAACCTCTAAATCTCGGGTGAACCTCTAAATCTCTAAATGGTCAACCAAGACCACCGACAGGACACTCGGATTCAATATGTTGCCACCTAAGAGTGCTGTGGAACATTTAGCACAAGTTGATACGTAGCCAAGCCCTCGCGTAGATGCAGTGGAGGACTAAATGGACCTGCGACGGCTAGGTGGACACTCTCTTTCTGAATTCACGTTTTAGTACCGGTACTCCCCAAAAAAGGTCTTGCCAATGGCGACAAAAATGCGTCGCGACTGCTGGTAGCCAACCTTGACAGAATGTTCCAAAGCACTCTCAAGTGACAGCATATTGAATCCCAAGAGTCCTGCCAGTGGTGTGGAAGCCGCGATAACTTGCCTCCCTGTGTGCTCTGGTTGACCATTTAGAAATTTTTGAAAAACAAACGACTTGAAAATCTTCGACGGTAACGTTGCTGGAAGAAGAATCATGACTGGATTCGTGATCGACGTATTCTGTCTACGCGCCGATTGTTGCAGCTACTTGGATCTCTTCAACCTACTCATGGGAGCCAAGAGTAATTCGACGTGGCCACAACTACCAAGCATGCGATATGCATCACTGGGCTAGTGTTGTAGACTCTGTAGTTGATGGGTTTGGAATTGATTGGTTCCTTCGCTTAGATTCCAATTTCAACAAACAACCGACACCGCACCAGTACTTCGTGCTCGATACCGTCGTCATCCGATAGGTTTGAGGCGAAGCTTGTAGTTGATCACGGTGACGCGGTCTCAGCTGTCTTTGCTGGCGCGCAGCCTTTGCCACAATGACATCGCTGGATCAGTCGATGCTGCACTCTGTGGGATCGTCCCGGTGCGTGTTGAGAACCAAGCGCGTGATATCTGTCGAGCAATGGCGCGGGCCCGCGACATTCCATTCGTCTTGTGTGGCGAATCTCGAAGATTCAGAGGTCCGTATATTGTCCGAGTGTGCCACGCACACTAGATGTGGGGTACATACTCCGCGAGCTCCGTGGACGGCGATTAGGGTTAGATCTGTGTCTGAGTTGGTGGCTAGGACGCGTGTCTAGAAACGAAGCTAAGCTCAGGCTAATCGAGTCATTGTTCAATCAGCTCTTCTTCCAGCAAGTCTTCCAACGACAGCGGACGCGGCGTCACATCTTGAAAGAGCTGTCAGGCAATGCAGGTGCGTCCGTGGCATCCGCACCCGGTTTACCAGCTCGCAGAAAGCGATGAGATTGGAAACGTACAGCGCCTTGTTCAGATACTACATTTCAATGAAAGACCCTTTCCGCATCGTGTACACCCATCTCTTGATCAATTGGCGAATCGGGATCGAACCGCAAGCCACATGTACCGACCGTTGCTTTTCAATGTTGCCACCCCAACGACGCAGGCACCTACTCTCTTGCGACAGGTTCTGGTGGGTTCAAATACCTAAACCTACTTCGGCGGACCGTTTTTCCTAGTCTCGCAGAGCACACTCATCGGCGCATGATGGCTCTTGCACGGTTCGTGTTTGCGGACATAAAAGAAAGTAGCACATTCTTTCTCGACTCGGTGGCGCGCAAGGGTACATAAATTCAATATTAATTTTATGTACCCTTGGTGGCGCGCCAATCGATCTCCGCTGCAAAGCCCTCGTTGGCATCGTATCGCTCCCGTCGGTGGGCACTGGCGCGCCGCTGGCATGGCAAATGAATGTATCACCGGTTGTGCTGTGCGTCGTCGGGTGGTCGCCTGCGACACGCGACGAATTTGCAGTCGATGCTTTGGATGACATTGCAGGAGGCCCGAGAGGCCGCCTTTGGCGACACTGCTGACCACAGCTCTCGTGTCAGTTCGCGATCTTCCAGCAACCGACTTCAACATTCCTGTTGCCCGCCATGGCCCATTCTTGAGCCACCCTTTTCGATCATCTCATTCGATGCATAAGACCCATCGATTCCTCGAGTACCGGCGAGCTGCGCTTGCGACCCCTTGGCCATCATCACACAACGCAACAGTCCTCGTTCGCATGCAATGAATACATAGTATTAGTCTTCCAAAGTGAAGCCTAGCTGGATCATACAAAAGCGGCGGTGTGGTTGCAAAATCGGAGCATCGCGAGGTTGTCGTAATCTTACATGGAGAGCTCCATGTAGTCGTGCTGCGACGCCGCGCGATGCTGCTGGCGCACGGTCACGAGCGCGACGCCAACGGCCACGACGCAGACAAGACCAAGCAGCACCATCGGCGACGACGGCTGCATCGCGACCAGCAACT